AACAAACTGAAAGGTGTGAGAAAAGGAACTTCTCATTAGGGGCCATGTTCCCCCAGGACAGAGTTTGGTTTAACCACATTCCTGGATCCAGAGCAGATGGGCCCCTTAGTTCAGAGGAAGAGCTGGAGCATACCTCAACTCCCTGGGCCCAGGCTTGGTGCTATGTGGTGGACATACCAGTTACTGTTTTTGCATGAGATTAGTTTTCTCACAGTTTTCTTTTGTGCCTGTCTTGGGTACTAACAAGAGCTTTGATTGGATTTGAGGAGGATTTCCCCCTCCCAAATGGTTCCTTGTGGGGAGCCTTATTTTGTGGCCTTTTACAGCAGTATTTTACTCTCAGAAAGATGAGTAATCAATTCTTGCTCTATAGTATTGAACACATAAGTAAAAGTCATTAAGGAGAGCCACCACCTGCCATAAACAAACTTTGGGTTTTAAAGAGGAAAAAACCAGCAGCCTCACTCTCTCACGTTCTGCTTAACCCTTGGTTAATAAAAATCAACCATGTTTAAATGTACTCTCCTAGTACAGACTGTATCTGCTGCCTAGTTGGGGGTCAAAAGGATCATCACCAGAACCTTGGCCACTAAGTCATGAATTTTTAAAAAATTCATGCAACAGATTAATGTGCAAAATGACCATCAATCAATAAACATTTATTAAATATCTACTACGTGCCAGGCACTGTGCTAAACACTAGTGATACAAAGAAAGGCAAAAAGCAGTCCCTGCTCTCAAGAAGCTTACAATCTAATGGTGGCCTGTGCAGGACTCTTCTCATTCCACAGTCAATGAGGAAGGGAACGAGGAAAGGAATAAATATTTGTGTAGCACTACTCTGTGCCAGGCACTGTGCTATGAACTTTTTTAAAACAAATATCTCCTTTGATCCTCACAACAGCCCTGCTGCAAGGTAGGTGCTATTATTATCTCCATTTTACAGTTGAGGAAACTGAGGCATCAGGTTAAATGACTTGTCCAGAGTAAAAAGTATCTGAGATCAAATTTGAACTCAGGTCTTCCTGAACCCAGGCCCAGTACTCTATCTACCGTACCATCAGCTGTGACTGTGATAGAATGATGGAAAAGAGGGCAGAAGCAGCCGGTAAAACTATCATTACTGGAACATCTACAAAACATTATTGGTGCTTTTAATTAGAGATATTTGTCCAAAGACCAACCAGGTGAGCTAATGCTAGAAAAACTCAACCACACTCATATTGCCATTTGTATGGAAAACAGAAGCAGAATACAAATCACAGCAGAAGGGACATTTTGGGTTATTATTTTGTTAAATTTCATTCACTTTAAAAAAAAATTCTAAATAAAGAAGTATTTGTTTCATGTATGATATATGTAGTATATGTGATATATTTATTTACACATACATATATACACATATGTGTACATATATACACACACATATATATGTGTAGATAGATAGCATTTGAATAGTTTAAACTCTTCCTGTCTAGAATGGGTTTCTGCCTGTTTCTTCTTATCCTGCAGCTAGGTGGTGCTGCAGATAGAACAGTAGACTTAGAAAGACCTGAGTTCAAATTCAGCCTTAGACACTTATTAGCTGTGTGAGCCTTGGCAAGTCACTTAATTTGGGCCTCAGTTTCCTCATCTGTAAAGTGGGGATAATGATAGCATCTCCCAGGGATCAAATGAGTTAATATATTAAACTTGAAGCACTATATAAATGCTAGCTATTGCAGTTTACTATTTGTTAACAGAAAAAGAGAATGTATGTTTTAACTTTAGTAATTTGGAACCAATATTGTACATATGTTTAATTTGATCCTTTTAACATTGTCTTCATTTACATTGCTAGAGTGATTATGGGCATTTTTCATTTGGCCTTGGTATCTTCATTCTGTCAGTTCCCTCATGTTTCCCTGAATCTTTCATATTTGTCAATCCTTATGATATAATAAGATAGCACTACATTTATATACCATGACTTTCCAGTCATTTGCCAATAATTGAGCAAATTATTTGGTTTTAGTTCTCTTACAAATGTGCTGTTATATTTTGTTGTTCAGTTGTTTCATGTCCGATTATTCGTAACTCCATTTGGGAGGTTTGCCATTCCTTCTCCAGCTCATTTTACAGATAAGAAAACTGAGGTAAATAGGGTTAAGTGACTTGCCCAGGGTCACCCAACTAGTAAGTGTCTGAGGTCATATTTGAATTTAGGAAGATGAGTCTTCTTGACTTTAGACCAGGCACTCTATCCATTGTACCACCTAGCTGCCCCCCTGCTGTTTTATTGTTATATACATAGATAACCTCTTTATGTCACTGACATTCTTTAGAGAATAAACTTGATTATGCAATTACTGGACTAAGGAGTATGGAAGTTTAAGTATGAATGTTTGCTTTTGTTAATAGCTCAGTATAAAATAAAGGCATTGAAGTGGCTCAATGGATAAAGGACCAGCCTAGAGTCAGGAAGACCTGAGTTCAAATCCAGCCTCAGACACTCACTAGCTGTGTGACCCTCGGCAAGTCATTTAACATCTGTTTTCCTTAATACACTGGAGAAGGAAATGCAAACCACTCCAGTATCTTTGCCAAGAAAACCCCATAAGGGGTCATGAAGAATTAGATACAACTGAACAACAACAAGTATAAAATAGATTTTTTTAAAAATTGCAATTAGATGGAAGGCTACTGTTCCAGGTTTGAGGAGAAACTAATCCAGAATCTGGCACAGAGGGTTTGATTGTCCAACAAATAACACCACCTCATGGGACACCTTACAGTTCTCACAATGAATATAAGCAAAATGACCATCATAAACACAACTGAAGCTGATGCACCAACGTCTGTTCAGAAACAGAGGGGGTAGAGAAATGATATAAAGAACTTGATAAGGTTTTCCAAATGAAGTCAGGTGACTACAATGTAAAGATGCAATCAGGAGAGAACAGCAAAAATTACATCAGAAAGTATGGATTGGGAGCAAAGGCTTGTGGATCACTGAGAAATCTCACACTTATGCATTATGAATGTTTTCTTGGAAGGTGGTTGACATGATGAGCCCTAAATGACATCACAGAAAAGGAAATCTACTATATTTTAACAGGCAGGAAATGATTGGTTTACTGATGTGGGAGTCATTCCAGAATCAGCTGTCTGTGTATAGTCAGTTTATTGACTGGTTAGGGCAAAGGCCAAAATCAATACCAAATTAGAAGAAAGGATAAAGATGAGAAGAGAGACACTAAGTGCAATTAAAGCAGCTCCAATTTGACATGTTGAAACATACTGTTGACTCCAAAAAAAAAAAAGTGGAAAATGAGCAAAGGTAGAGGTTTTGACTCTATCAATATTTCTTAGAGAAATTCAACCAATACAAAATAGTAGTCATAGCAAGAAGGCCCAAAAAGCCCAGAAACCTCCTCAGCTTGCAAACAGTTTTGTCTCCTGCAACCAGAGATGTGACAGTCTAAGGCAGCACTGCTTTGTAGTATAAGATCATTTGCAAACAACGCAGAAGATGGATGTTCCTAGCAGATTCCCATCACATAATAGCAGTTGAGGGAAAATGATCCTGCAGAAAGCTTGACCTAGCAACCAGCTGAGTCAGATCACTCAAAAGAATATTTATGGATGAAACTGGAAGTAGGAAAACAAATAGATATAAGGTGGAATAGATGTTTTGACCTCCCCGCAGCAAACTGTTCTCATCAGAAGCAGTAGTGAGTCAACAGATTTGGATTCAACTATGTCCGTACCAATCGTACTACTGAGGATATGGTCTTGACGATGAAAAAGATGAGGCTGGAAAGAGCTATAAATGCATACAGTACTGAGAAAATCCATGAGGAAGGTACTTAGGGATCAATTTTCAAGATAGCTTTAAGAGGGAAGTTATTTCAGGAGAATAAAGACGTTCATGAAATATACTTTTATTAAAAAATAAAGGTGACTGAGAAATATCAGCAACTACCAAGTCATATACCTCCCCTTTTATTTTTTTGAGATTTCTGAATATTATTTGCTGACATATCTTTGATGAAAACATGACAAGGAACGGGGCAGGCAGTTCTATGAGGAGTAGATTCTTTCTAATCTCATGCAAAAAGTATACACTTGGAGCCACAATATTCAAAACAAATGATTGCTTTTAGTACAAAAAATACAATTAAGAAAGGTTCCATGGGGTCAAGGGCAGGTAGATGATGCAGTAGATAGAGTACCAGGCTTACAGTCAGGAAGATCTGAGTTAAAATATGGACTCAGACACTTACTACCTATGTGATCCTGGGCAAGTCATTTACCCCTGTTTGCCTCAGTTTCCTCATCTGTAAAATTAAAGCATACCAGAAAAGGAAATGGCAAACCACTCTAGTATCTTTGCCAAGAAAACCCCATGGACAAAAGTCCAAGGGTCACATAGACTCAGATACAACTGAACAATAATCATAGGGTCAAAGAGCCCTAAGGCCAGAGGGACAGCATCTGTATCAGGTTCAGACAGGCCCCTCTAATCCAGATGTCCCCATGGGAAGGCTGTGGCCTGTATCTCAGATCATCCCTCTGGGGGAGGGAGAACAGCTTTCCACAGGTTTGTTTCTTTCTACTTACTACACAGGCTTTCACAGATCATTTTTAGAGATCTGTGTTCTCTCCCACAGTCACACAACAAGCTTGGCGGTAAGAATACAAGGTCCTACTATGCCTATTGTTTGTCCATTAAAACAAAAGAAAATAAAACCCAAGTGTTTAACTAGGCATACAAAAATGCATCCTTAAACATCTTCAAATAAGGTGTCAACCACACATAAGTTAAAATAAAACCATGGTGTGTGACCCAGGTGACTGCAGATATCATTTTATTCAGTCAGCCAGAAAAGGGTGCTTTGGTCTGTGAAGTCACAGAAATGGTAAGGGTGGAATCACAGGGCAATCGATCGGCAGCCTTTCCCGGAATAGTAGAGCTGATTTGATTACTACTTCCATAGCAAGAGTTGGAAATGGGGATGGGGCTGGGGAAGCACAAGGAGGAATTGCAGGAGGATAGACTGAGGGCAGCTGCGGTTGGATCTAAGCCCCAGCGCAAATGGTAAAGTCTCAACAATTAGGAGGGCATAGCCTCAGGGCAGGGTGGAGAGGCAGCAGGAACAGCTGGGCAGCATTGCAAGGGACAACTGTCAACTGGGCAATCGGCACAAAAATCTTTCTCAATCACAATCAGCTGTTTGGGACTTATGTCCTAAAGAGTCTTCAGTTACTCTGAGAACAAAGGATAATGAGGAAAATAGGAAGTCGTGGAGCTGGAAGGCACTTAGAGGCTATCTAATTCAGCCTCTTCATTTTATAGACAAGGGAATTGAGGCCCAGGAGGTAAAGGGATTTATCCAAGGTCACAAAGGTAATACACATCAGAGGTAGGATTTGAACCTAGGTCCTCCTCCCCCCATTAGACTTTGAGCTCCTCGAGAGCTCAAAAAAAAGACGGTGTCTTTTGCCTTTCTTTGTATATATGGACCATACTGTCCCTGGGTTTTTCTTGACAAAGATACTGGAATGGTTTGCCATTTCGTTCTCCAGCGGATTAAGGCAAACAGAGGCTAAATGACTTGCCCCGGGGTCACATGGCTAATAAGTGTCTGAGGTCAGATTTGAACTTGGGTCTTCCTAACTCCAGGCCAACTACTCTATCTCCTGAGCCTTCTAACTGCTTCTACCTGGTACACAGTAGGTGCTCAATACATGCTTTATTGACTGGCTGACTGATTCTCTCTTCAAAGCCAGTGTTCTTTCTTGTATCCTGAGGCTTTGCAGAGACTGATCCATTTAGGACCATAGGATTTAGATTTGGAAGGACTTACAGCATCTTGGTCTGGTGGAAAGAGTATTGCATTTGCCATCAAAAGATTTGGGTTCAAATACCGATTACTACTTCTGTAACCTTGATACGGTCCTTTCTCTTCTCTAGCCTCAGTTTTCCCATCTATAAAATGAGGGAGTTGTACTAGAAAATCTCTAACGTTCTTTCAGTTTCTAAATTCTATAATCTTAAGATTCTTCCATTCTCCAAACTGGTATAACAGTCTTAACTCTTTACTGTTAATCTGATGCTGCTGTACAGGGCCAAGGAATTCATTAATCCTGGCTTATATGTGGCTTTTCCTCCTCTCTCCCATGTTATATCAGTGATGACTTAGCTCCCATCTCTTCTTTCCAAAGTGTATGTAGTTTTCAAAGTCTAATGTAGTTTCTTGTTTTCTTCTATCATTACAAAGATAGCATGAACAACCCCAGCAACTGGTCCCCAAAGCCTCTCCTATCTCAGCACTAGAATTTCTGGCCAGGCTTAAATTCCCACACTACTTATAAAGTGGTTCGTATTGGGGTCTCTGTGACTGGCAAGAATAGTCAGGTATATAGGTAATAGCTTTCCCATAAGAACACAGCTCTGACCAAAAATCAGTTCTTTGCATAAATTAGTAGGACTATATTTTGGGGATCAAGTCACTCATGACCATTCTCTTTCAGTTCAGGCAGTGCAAAGTTAGAGAGTAAAGTTAGAAAGGGGCCCTTAATATTTTGCCTGGCTTCAGTTATTACAATTTATTTCCAGCTTAAACTTAGGAAAATTAAATCCTGAAAATATTCTCCATCCGAAAAGGACAATTCATCTCTTTTCGACTTGAGGGAATCATGGAATGCAGGTTTCTTTCCTCTCCTTTGTTTCCCTCCTCCTCCTGCCAATATGAAGCTTCTCATTCTCATTTAGCTCTGAAAGGTCACCTGGAGGGTTATAACAAGGGATTGCATTGTGCGGTGTTGTGGATTTTTTTCTGAAGTCAAGGTAAGCCTGGGGCACCATGAAATACTTTGTACTTTCCCAGGATTCCCCAGGGCCACTGTGATAATAGCCAAGGTCATATACTTGTGTGCTCCTGAGCAAACCTTCTAACCTCTTGGTCTTATCAACTAAAAAAATATAGTTGGTAGCTCACAAGGACACTGCGTGACTCTGTAAAGTATTAAAGTGTAAAAATCTGTATACAATCTGCCACAGAAACCTGTAAACCCATATCAGAAAAGCTACATAATAAGATGTCAAACAGAGATCACATCAATCATCCCTGTAGATCAAACGTTTAGAACTAGAACAGATCTTAGAGGTCATTAAGTCCAACCCTTTCATTTTTACAGGTAAGGAAACTGAGGCCGAGAGGAGCTTAGGTGACTGGCCCAGGGTCCCACAACCAGTAATATCTGAGGCAGGATTAAAACCTGATTGTTCTTAACTTAACAAACCCAGCATGTTCTCCATTTCATCATGATACCTCTCGATCTCCTAAGTCCATCTCCTGCTTTCTTATTTGACATTATGGTCCACGACATAACTTTTGAACTGAGTAGTGATTAACATGGCCTATACAGAAACTCTTCTTTTCACTGTATTCTGAAAGGTCATGATGGAAAAGTATGGCAGCCAAGCCTCTGGTTTACAAATGCCTGGCTTCCAAACATCCTTTATCTGCCGATGGTTTCCCTCATTAGAAGCTGACCTGGGAAACTCCCTTTCATTTCTCTACCTAAATCTCTCTCTGTAGCTTCTGGGGAATCTTGGGATGCCATTTTCTTCCTGTCTACTTATTCACTATGTACAGGACTCTTTTCTTTATCTTCCCCTCCAGGCTGATGCTAGAACCTGCAGAGGTCAGAAGCCTACTCTTATGGTCCTATAGCAGTGGGAATTCCTGGTGTTTCTCCTGGAGTTTATAGAGTCCTAGATTCAGAGCTGGAAGGGACCATAGAAAATGGCTTGTCCAACACCTTCATTTTATAAATGAGGAGGCTGAGGCCCATGGATTCTGCTAGTGGGTGGCAGATTTTTTGTTATGTTGGAAGCTATCTGTTGACCCTTAGTATATTACTCCCAAAATAGTTAGCCTTCCCCCTTACTCAGTATCTAGCCCTCCTCCCCCATTCACTCTTCCCAGCTGTTGCTCATCTGTTTCTATCTGGAGAACTTCTGGTATTTTGAACAGATTGATCACCCTTTCTTTGCTTCAAGGCTCATTTCTCAATGTCTCAACAATTCTAAAAATACCTCTTTTTTTTTTAAACTACTAAAAAGAGAGGAGTAGATAACACTCCAAGGTCAGAAGCAGATTAGACAGTGAATAGAGAATTGAATGCAGGAGTTTGGACGTTGAGTCCAAGGCTTTGTCTATAAAATCAAACCAGTTCTCAGAGAGCTTTCTAAGCTCTCTAATATTTCAAGTACATAAATCGAGATAGTTTTCTCTGGAACAATAAAATATCAGCTCTTCAGAATTCAGACTGAGACCTGAAGTGAGGAGGATAAGCTACAAATTTATTTCAGGACATCTGCTGACCTTGACATTTGACAAATGTATGTCTAAATTAAAACACTGCAGGACCATGTTGTCTCTCTTTCCAAAAGCAACTATTTATTTTGATCTGCAGGTTTTCTCAGTAAGTTGGATGATCTTGGTACCTTTTTAGTAATTCTTGTGGTAAATGATTTCCTAATGTTGTAATCATTGGATTAGAGACTCTCTCATGATATGAAAAGTCCAGGAATACTACTTTGAGGGATTTTTTCTATTGGTAGACCCAGAGTCTCTACTCAGGAAACCACCCCCCCACCCCCCACCCCCAGTATACTGGGCCAAATTCTCCCCTTGTGCCATGTATTTAATCCATAATTTTATAGAATAAAGTTTTATTAAAAGGAAAGGAAAGAAACAGAAATATTCGATGACCAATCATTAGTGCCAAAGGTTTATGTAAATCCCTAGAGTCACTTCCAGTTTTAAGTATGAGAGTTTTTCTTGTGGAAGCCCTGACTTAACACATCCTGTCTGGGCTTATGACTCGTTAACACTGGAAAGGGGAGGGTGGATAGTAATGGCCATCCCTTCTTGCCCATCCACTAGCATAGATCCATAGTATACAATCTCTCAGTTTTTCAGGTAAGGCTAGAGATTCTCTGTGGAGTCCTTCTGCCTTCCAAGGCTGTATCCTTAGTATAAGATGAGGAACCCTAACTGTGGTTGTTCCCCGAAGATTTTGTCCTGGACCTTTTTCTCTTCTTCTTCTACATTTTCTCTCTTAGATGAGCTGATGGGTTTAACTATCATCTCAATGTAAATGGCTCCCACATCTACATAACCAGTCCCAGTCTCTCCCTCAGGCTATTTAGTCACACATCAGCAACTGCCTATTGGATGTTTCAAAGTTGGTGTCCTTTAGGGATCTCAAAGTCAACATGTCCAAAATTGAACCCATCAATTTTTCCCCAGATTTCTCCCCCTCTTTTGAATTTCCCAATTTCTGTCAAGGGCCCTATCATTCTTCCAATCACGTGGGTTTGCAACCTTGAAATTATTTCCAGTTCCTCTCTCCCTCATCCTATGTATCCAATTGGCTGCCAAATCCTGTCATTGCTAGATATCTCTTTCATCTGCCCCCTTCTCTCTACCCCATAACCACCATCCTACTTCAAGTGTTCATCATCTCTGGCTTGGACTATTGTAATAGCCACAGGTTATTACAGTCAGTCAAATCTCCATGTTTTTGTGAAGGTGATTTTCCTAGGACGTGGATATGACCATATTACTCGCCTGTTCTATAAACCCACATGGCTGTCTTTGCCACCAGGATCAAATATAACCCTGTCTGTTTTAAAGCTCTTCATAAGCTAACCTCAATCTACCTTTCCAGCTTTATTATATATGATTCCCATTGCCGTACTCTCTGGTCTAGGCACCAAACTGGTCCCCTTGCTGTGGTCCACACATTCCATTCCATCTCCCATCTCTATGTCTTGGCAGTGGCTGTAGCTCATGGCTGGCATACATTCCATCCTCACCCCCACCTCTTAAATCCCTTTATTTTCTTCAGCACTCAACTTAAGAACAACCTTCTCCTTTTATATTCCCCACAGGTGATAGTATTTTCTGTTCCTCGCAGGTACTGCCTGCTCCACATTATTTAGTGTCTTTTTTATATTCTTTGTAAATTCTTACACATGTCCATTTTGTCTCTCCCAATAGAATGAAAGCTCCTTGAGGGTAAGAACTGTTCTTATCCACAGCATCTGCACAATGCCCGGCACATAGTAGGTACTAAAAATGCTTATTGATTAATTGATTGATGACCTATCCAAGACTTAATGGGTTCTTCCCCAGTAGGTTGTGAGGCCTTTCCTAAAAAAGGTTCTCAACTTAGACTATTGAAAACCTTGTGGTGGGGAAAATTTAGACTCACTACACACATGTATGCATAAATTTTCTAAGCATGATTTTCTCATTACACAGGAGTTCTAGACTACCCACTGGCAAACCTCTGTCCAGGAAGACTTTCAACTGGCTAAGCAAGTCATCATCTTCAGATGGAGGCTTAATGCTTGGAATACATATACTCATATGCTAATAAATGAGCCTTTCCTATTTGGTTAAGATTTCACTCTATTTCTAATGCAAACTGAGACACAAATTTGAAAGGTGTTGCTGGAGGAATAACCTGGCTTAATGTAATGGGTAGTAAAATGTTTTGAGGTCAGAAAGCTACAAGAAAAGTCATGACTTCTCTGTCTTTGTTTTTTTCACTTGTAAAATTAACAAAATAGTTTCTCTTCATCTCAGAGGGATAAAAAGAGGAATAATGAGAAAAGCAGCATATTATGGTAGATAGAGCAATATCTTGGAGTCATTTTCCTCATTTCTAAAATGGGAATAATAATTTCTGCTCCACTTTCATCTTTAACCCAGTTATTATGAGGATCAAATGACATACGCTAAAGTGCTTTGTAAGTTGCAAAGGCTACAAATTCAATCAGCAAGCATTTATCAAGCACCTACTGTTTGTAGAGTACTTGTGTTTATTGTTGGGGGTGATACAAAATTCAGATAAGACATGTTCCCTGCCTTCATGGAGTTCTTTGTCTACTCTACAGGTAAGATATCCACAGCTATAAAATGTCATGTTAAATAATAAATACATTAGGGGAGTGCAAAACAAAGTACAAAGTCCAGGTCAAAGGGTTAAACTGTGAGCTCCCCGAGGACAGACACCTTGTTTTATCCAGACTCTGTATTCAACCCAGCTTAGCACAGTGCTCTTGCAGGTCAGGTTCTTAATGTTTGTTAAAATGAATTGAGTTAATATGTTTCAATTTTTCTATAGATTAAATCTTATTACAGTGAATTTATCTACATTTTTTGCTTATTCTGAAGTTTCACTCCATAGATGGCATCTTGAAATGTATAAGTATCATAGGGCTATAATACTTATAGCTGGAAGGAGAATATTAGAGATCATCTAGTCCAATATCTTCATTTTTCATATTTGAGACTTAAAAATCTTTTTGTTATAGAGAAACTTTTGTTATAAAGTACTATAATTTGTCTGTATGAAATCTCTTAGGTCAAGTCTTCACAGTCTCAGTTACCTAGAGAGTTATTCAGGGTCAGTCAGTCAACAAACATTAAATGCTTAATATGTACTGAAAACATAAAGAAAGGCAAAAGCAGTCTCTACCTTCAAAGAATTTACATTTTAATGAGGGAGACATGGAAATAATTAGTTATGCACAAGACACATATGTGTATAGATTTTACATTTATTACCTTTATTACATTATTATTTTATATATAGTTATACTGTTATATGCACATACATACATATATAAATATATATATATATATACGCACCTGGGTGGCACAGTGGATCTGGGCCTGAAGTCAGGAAGACTTGTCTTCCTGAGTTCAAATCTGTCCTCATCTTGCTGTGACCCTGGGCAAGTCACCTAACCCTGTTTGCCTCAGTTTCCTCACCTGTAAAATGAGCTGGAGAAGGAAACGGTAAAGCATTTCAGTATCTTTGCCAAGGAAACCCCAAATGGAGTCATGAAGAGTTGGACATGACTAAAACAAGTGAAGAACAACAAAAATACATGAATGTGTGTGTGTGTGTATGTGTGTGTGTGTATGTGTGTGTAGGGAGAGAGAGAGAGAGAGAGAGAGGGAGGGAGAGAGAGTGAGAGTGAGACGGTATGTTAATAGGAAGTACTCTGAAATGGGAGGGTATCGATATGCAGTGCCAGATTGCAGGACTGGGAGACAAGATCCCCAAACTGCCCTCCTACTTCTGTGAGACCCTTCCCCAAGACCATATCTAGCGCTTGGCTGCCCTTTGAGTATAAGATTTCTTCTCTGTCCTCTGCTACGGCACCCCTAGCATCTTTACTTGGGTGGACAGGGTGACCCAGCCTCCTAACTGGGCTCCTACTCTACCTATTCCTGTTTGCTGTGAAGTAGGCCTTCTGGGGCTTAAACGATCACATCGGTAGACTAAACCTGAAGGGACGACCTTGTACAGTCCCATCACAAATCTTAGACCTCTAGAGTTCCATCCACTGACTCCATCCTGGACTCATTGCTCAATGATTAGCGTGCCTTCCCACCCCTCATATTTGCCCCATCCCACTGCGCCTGAACCTGTGACTGAGGATATACAAACCCTATTTCCCTCCCCAACTAGTCACTCCCTTATTTCTACCCACATCAAGCCTCCCCTGCCATTGTCTCACTGCAGACCTCTACGCTATTCTCTACTCTCCGATCCCTTGACCTTTTGTCCTCTTGCCATTCATTCCTAGCCAAACTCCAAGTCTGTGTTACTCCCACCATCTGTCTCCTTTGCTTCTATTCACATACTGCTGAATGGAGCTGGAGGAAATCATGACACTGTGCTCACTGGGTTCACTGCAAATTGATGTTATCTAATTTCAACTGGGCCCTCATTGTAGCAGGGAAAATATTCAATTCTTCCCTAATTGATTAACTATGCCCCTCTCTATAGCAACTGTTCAAAATCTTCTTGTAACACTTCAAGGAATAGTGCTAAGTAATATGGGTAATTCAGGCAAAAGTAGGGAATTCATAGAAATTTCCTGGGTAATTTCCCTCAGTGATATTGTCTCAATGTTTTTACATTACTGTGAACATAGAACACCACACTCTCTGAAGAATTATAATGGCAGGTGACCCAAAAACCAATGGAAAGATGTATGACAGGTTTAAGTCAGTTAATAATAGCTCATGAATATTATTAAATGGCACCTGAAATATCATCTAGGAAATGTGTGATCATAAAAGGAGGTGGGCTTGTCCTGTATTGAGGAATAATAGACAGATGGCACTCTGAAGATTTTATGGAAGGATGTTGAGAAGGCATGAACTGACTAAGAGATTACACATATCAATAATAAAATAATAGCTAACTTTTATATGGTGCTTTAACATTTGCAAAGTGCTTTACAAATATGTCTCATCTTATCCTCACAACAACGCTATGAGGTAGGTGCTATTATTACCCCATCATTATACAGATAAGTATACTGAGGCTGAGAGGTTAAATGACTTGCCCATTGTCACACAGCGAATAAGTGTCTGAGGCAGGATTCAAGCTCAGGTCTTCTTGACTCTGGTCAAACATTCCATTCACTTGTTGACCTTGGTACCATGGTCAAGAAGATCATAAATCCAATGGAATATTGTCAAGTAACAAAGCCTATGGGACAGTGGATAGAATGCTGGTAGTTGAGAAGTCCTGAGTTAAAATCTGGCCTCAGACACTAGTTGTGCGATTCTGGGCAAGTCATTTAAACTTCTTTTTGGCACAGTTTCCTGAATTACAAAATGGGAAGAATAATAGCATCTACCTCAAAGGGATGTTGTGATGATCAAATGAGACATTATTTGTAAAGTTCTTTTTAAATCTTAAAGCACTATATAAATGTTAACTATTATTATGATTATGATTATGATTTCTATTATTTTTATAGTTTCCTGAGGAATTTTAGCGGTTTGTGAATGTAAGCTCCCAGCCTATCTTGATGCTTTCTCCCCATAAAATAGTTAAAATAAGGCTTCAAGGGAAAGGAGTTGGTATAGGAGGTGGTGTCTTCTCTTATCTCTTCTTTGATACCAAACTTTCTCTTTGTACTTTTACAATATTCATTTTCAACTGTTTTATAGTGGTTGCTTTTCCATTTAAATTTTTGTAGTCCTTTTGCATATCGATTTCTGGATTTTCCACTTTTCATCAGTTTATGTAAGTCTTTACATCCTTCTCTATAGTAATCATAGTTTCTGTCTATTACAAGCACAGCAATATTTCATTATATTTTTGTACCATAACTGGCTTAGTAATTCCCTAATTGATAGACATTTACCTTGTTTGCAGTTTTTTGTTACCTTAAAAAAGAGTGCTACTATGAAATATTTTGGTGTATATGAAGGCTTTCTTTTTGTCAGTAACCTCCTTGAGGTATATACTGACTAGTGACACCTCTGGGTCAAAGGGTATAGACACTTGGACCACTTCCTTTGCGTCACTTAAAGTTACATTCTGTAATGGTTGTATTGATTCACAACTCTACCAATAATGTACTAGTATTCCCAACTTTCCACAATTCCAGCAACATTAGTTATTCCCATCTTTTGTCATCTCCAACCATGTCAGTTCTCCACTTGAAAATCTTCAGGGTTTTGGCTGTTTGCTGAGTGTAAGGCTGATATGTCAATATGTTAGTAAACATTTACATCACTTTATTTATTTATTACCATTTGTTTAAAAAAAATTTTGAATTCTAAATTCTCTCCCTCCCCCTAGCCCTTTCCCCATCAATTGAAAGGGTGATAGCCATTATACATGTGATGTCCTGCATCAATAAACATTTATTAAGTGCCTTCTGTGTGCCGGGCACTGGCACCTTTGCTATTATCTTATATTTCCTTTTGTCACAGTTATTTGGGTAGGTAAGATATAGAGTAGGAAGTGAACTTAAAAGACCTCTCCAAAACATTCCACCTTATTTTGGAGATGAGGAAACTGAGGTCTAAGCAACTTTGCTGTGCCCACACAGGCAGTAAATAGTAGAGCTCAGTTCAAATGCACGTCTGTCCACAACTGCAAGGTACCCTGTCGATCCTCACATAACACTGTTTGGTACCTCTTTAATGAAGTTACCATCTTTGTTTCTTTATCTCCTACTAGGCTATAAAACTCCATGAAAGAAAGGGTTATATTTTATTTAAACTGTTTACCTCTCTCAGCATCTAACACTGTACTGTGTACACAGTGTGTATTTAATAAATGTTTGTTGAACTAAATTAAATGTCTGAAAGGTCTTTTAGGATTGCTTGAAGGGTGGTGTTGAAAAAAGCTGTTTAGGAGGGAAATTTTTGTTGAAGTGAAGTCCATGGTTGAAGTGACTAGAAAAACAGGAAAGAAAGTGGGTACTTTGAAATTTGGGTAAATGTGAGTTGGAATTTCCCCATATAATCTGTCTTGTGATTACTCTTATGTGTACCTCACTTCTAGATTTTGTCCAAGTGTTTGCTA